TTTCTGCCTCAGACACCCCATTATCCCCGGCCAACCTTTAAAAAAAGAAAGGGACGGAACCTGAATTCTGAGAACCACATTTCCTGCCTCAACACAACCACTGGGTTGCTCAAGTTTTGGAAGGTGGATAGGTTTTCCTTTCACTTAAAAGCTTACGGAAACACACACACACACACACTCAGACACGCTCACATGGGTGCGTGAGGTGTTCTCAGTCCCAATTACGTGGAGACCTCCCCGAGGGCTGCTCCCCAGGAGAACTGGTTTTGCCAGTTGTGGCAAACTAATTTTTAGCCAGGTAAGCATTTAGGTCGGTCGGTGGGAAGGGCTTTGTGTAAGCGGAGATCCCTGCGCCTGCTTTCACAGGACACACTGGAAATAGGAAGCGGTTAGGTTTTCAGGGGGTTGTGTGTGTGTGTGTGTGTGTGTGTGTGTGTGTGTGTGAGAGAGAGAGAGAGAGAGAGAGATCTATGACTTGGATAAAATTGATATGCTCATTCCATCAAGTTAGGACAGGGAACAATCTCAACTTTTTAAAGAGGACAATTTCTCTGTTACGTTGCTGGCTGGCTGGATAGCTCAGTGTGTTAGGTCTCTGGCTGGGGAGCCACAAGTTGGGAGTTCGATTCCCCCACTGGGTGCCTCCTGGGAGAAGAGCCAGCCTGGGTGGCCTTGGGCAAGCTGCACAATGGTCCCAGGGCTCCCCCTAGAGGAAGGGAAAATGGTCAACCACTCCTGAGTAATCCCTACCTTAAAAACCCTGGAAAGGGTCACCATATGTCAGAACTGACAGCACATAATGATGATGATGATGATTGCATTGCTTATTTATCAAATGGTCCCTGGAGAGCCATTGTTTTCCAGTGTGGCCTACCTCCAAAGACTGTTGTGAGGTGAATGGGAATTCTTGGTGGTATACACAGTAGCTGACACATACATAAACTTGGGAGGGATATTGCGTATATGTTTTGGGCTTTGACGCATCTGAGTTCTACCTGTTGTTTCAAGTCCAAACTTTTATGTAGGTCACAAAGATATAAGCAAAATAATTTTTAAAAGACCGAAGTAATAAGGAGTAAGGAGTAAGGAACAAAGAAGAAGGTAGGGAAGGCACTGGGATGTGTGTTGGAAACGGAGAAGGAGGTAAATTCTAGGGCCTCTCCTCTGTCTGTGTGTGTGTGTGTGTGTGTGTGTGTGTGTGTGTGTGTGTGTGAGAGAGAGAGAGAGAGAGAGAGAGAGAGAGAACTAATGCAGAAATGACCCTCAGTCTGAACCAGTGAAAGCAAGCAGGTAAGGAAAAGGGTGGCAGCCAACGCTGTTGGGGGGTCAGAGGAAACTTTGCTGTGGTCCAGCAAAGGCATGTCCTGTGTTCTATATGTAGCCGAGCTTGAAATCCATTCCTGGGGGGGGGAGGCCGTGCATCTCCTCCCCCTCCTCGGGCCTGCCCAGCAGCGCTCAGGAGGACCCGGGGATGTGGTGGTGGCAAGCATTCGGACCACCTCTTCCCCCTTGCCCCCCTGCCAGGGGCTCCCCGGGAGAAGGTTCTTCACCATCACCACCACCACACCCATCCCATCTGCTCCGCAGGGCACCAAGGGGTGCGGGGGGGGCAAACGGGCCCGTCCAGAGAGCCAGCCGCGCGCCGGCACCCGGCTCGCCATGCTAACCAAGGCCCCCCGTGAGAGGTCCCTTCGGACTGTCATGTAAGACGGCATCTCCTTGCCCGTTTGCTGAGTTCCTTAAGGTTGAGGGTATTTATAGCCTGGGCCTAAAGCACCTGCCCGGGTCTGTAACTCAAGAGGACAGATGCTTGGCGAGGCCGGCGCCCTGAGATCATCCCTGGAAATATCTCTGAGGAGGAGGCCCTTTCTTGAGACGATCCCTTTGGCCGGCAACCAAACCGGGCCCTCTACCCACTAGGGAACTAGGGAAGACAACTTCCTTTGGCAGACCAGACACCTAGAGTCCAGTGGGCTCTTGAGCCTCGCGCATGGGAGCAATGGCCCCGATCGGCTCTCCCCCCGGTTTGCCCCATAAGCCTGTCTGCACAGTTTTCTCTGGCACGTTTGTGATGTCGCCAACATTCAGCTTTTTTTTGTTCCTCACCGCTGCCACCACATCCACCCCATCTGCTCTGCAGGGCATCTGCAGCTGCGGCCCCCCCTTGCTGATTTCAAACCTCCCTCAACCCAATCCCTGGACCGCGGTTGGCCACAGAACCACCAAGGTGTGGTTAGACGTCAGAAGAACCACAACCACTCCATCAAAACTGGGAAAACAGACACACGTAGGGTGCCACACGAACCAGTGTCTTAGCCTCTCTGCAAACAAAGGGGGGCCCCTTCCCGCTTCCACATCGGTTGGTGACCTCATTTGTCTTCTCTTCCTCCTGCTCAAAAGGGCCTTGATTTCCACGAATTCCCCTTTACTCTAAGCATAAGGGTTCTTGGCTTATAAGAAGCCTCTCTTTGCAGCATAAAAGGGGGAAACAGGCAGGGATGTTGTCCTGGCTTTAACTTTTGCTGGAAACATGCCTGGTAGATAAATATCCCCTGTCCCCCCCCCAGCACATTATTGGGTCCTACTTTAAAGGAGAAAGGCTGGCTAGAAATATTTTCAATTAATAAATAATAAGTAAATATTCCCACCTAGAACTTTTATCTGGCAGCTCATAGAAAAATAAAGCCAGCTACAATGCATACAATACCCATCACATCTGTATAATTTAGTTGTTAATGATCTTGCAATAGAAATGCGCTAGTATCAAGTGAAGAAAAAGGTTCATTAAAATGTAGAGGATGGCTACATTTGATGGCAAATCATTACTCTTAAGATCTAATCAAGCCTGGACTCTCTCTAGAAGCAAAAAATGCTGAAACCGAGGCTCTCTTACTCTGAGCGCATCCTGAGAAGGCAGGATTCTCTGGACAAGACGATGATGCTGAGAAAGGGCGAAGGCAGCAGGAAAAGAGGAAAATCCCATGCGAGATGGTAGGACTTGGCTACATTTGATGGCAAATCATTACTCTTAAGATCTAATCAAGCCTGGACTCTCTCTAGAAGCAAAAAATGCTGAAACCGAGGCTCTCTTACTCTGAGCGCATCCTGAGAAGGCAGGATTCTCTGGACAAGACGATGATGCTGAGAAAGGGCGAAGGCAGCAGGAAAAGAGGAAGACCCCATGCGAGATGGTAGGACTCCCTAAGGGAAGCCACAAGCTTGAGTTTGCAAGAGATGAGCCGGGCAGTGGAAAACAGGACATGTTGGAAAGGGCTCGTTCACGGGGTCACCAAGAGTCGGAGGCAACTTGACGGCACATAACAAGAACCGCTAAGATGGCTGTCAGTCAGGGCTAGCCGGTTAGAAGACAAAGCAGTGGGTGGGCGGGCCACCCACCATCAAGGGTCCTTGGAAGACCCCATCGGTGAGAGCTGCCACCAAAGGACAGCAGGAGGGCTGGGAGCTCCCTTTTTTCCCTGTCCTCTGCTTGGTCTCCTGGCTCAACCTGTACAATTCTATAAATAGATACTACAACCGAGGTGAGCAGTCAGTCCTGCAGATGCTTTAGAACTCTGAATCCCATAATCCTTCACCCCTGTATGGCAGGCAGGGTTGATGGCCCTTCCTGGTTTGTTAAAGGTGTTCTAGCAGGTGGGAATGTGGCCGATTGTCCTTTGCGGGGTTGTTGTTTTTTTTTTAAAAAAGAGAGGTTGTGTGGATGTCTCTCAGAAGTGCTTTAAGCTGGAGATCTCCTGGTTTGATGGGGGGGGGGCAGGCGGCTAGATCCCTCTTGGGAATATCTGCAACTCTGCAATCAATTTAAAATGGTGCAAAATTTCAGACTGTTTACAGCCATTTAGGAGACATGTACTGTAAGACAGGGGACTGCCATCTGTCTGTCGGCGTTCTTCATTCTAGGGCCCAAGTCATTATATCTAGTAGGAATAGTAATAGCAACCGCCATACAAATACGATTATGTCAGCTTACTATTCCTGCAGTGCATTTAAGTGGAAAGAATTATTTACATTCTTTTGAGTTTCCAAATTAGTGTTTCCGAGTAATGGCCTTTGTTTGTTTGTTTTCAGAAATTGCCGCCTCAGATGCTGTGACAATGGCTTTCAAAATAGCCGCTACCCCCACGGGCCAAGTGGAAATCACATTCCTGAACCTGGTCTTTATGTGTCAAAATGCTTTCTCCCCCCCCCCACCTTCCAGTCCTTGACCCCCCCCTCGCCCAGGAGGCCTCGTTAATCAAGGAGAATTGGAAGCTGGCAGAGAAGAGGGCATCGCGTTGACCCGACCAGACAGCAGGAGAGGAGCCAGGCCCCGACTCACGTTTCATCACAATTTATTTCGGCACCCTTTAGCACAATGAGCAGAAGAAACAATGGGTTTCGCACCACTGATTTTTTTTTGGCCACAGCGACACTTGACACTCGGCACTGATCAAAACGATGATAACTCAGAGGTTTCCCCTCCAAATGGGGGAAAAAAACCCCAACACCCAGGCCGGGCTGGGGGTGACGCCGAGGGCCCAGAAAATGCAGAAGCTGAAGGTGGGATAAGGATCCGAATTGGGTTAGATGGTAAGCCTGAGGATACACAGTCCCCATTGAGGTGCATCAAGAGAACCTCTCTCGCTTGACAAAAGAACAGGGTAAGTCCTATAATAATCCTTTTCAAAAAGGTCCCATGTTCCCTTTGACAAGAACTATAAAAACTTAGTAGAAAATGTTACTTATTACAAAGCATCTAATAATAATAACTGCATGCCGTCAAGTTGATTCCAATTTATGGTGACTCTTTCTAGGGTTTTCTTGGCAGAGAATCCTCAGCAGTGGCTGAGCATCTTCCCTTCCTCTAGGGGGCACCCTGGGACCATTGTGCAGCTGGCCCAAGGCCACCCAGGCTGGCTCTTCTCCCGGAGGCACCCAGTGAGGAATCAAACCCCCAGCCTCTGGCTCACTCACCCATCTATCCAGCTGGCACTACCAAGCATCACAAAATGTTCATTGCAAAGTGCCGATTGTGACGTTCCAAAGTAACCTTGCTCCCGTGGATGGTTTTGCTTTGGAAATGTCACTTTGCCATGCTCACATTGCCAGAAGGAAGCAGCATAATAGAGAGGGAACGAACTTACTTGTAACTCGCTGTAATCAAGCTTTCCGGGTACCACCCCTGGAAACCACATCCAGCCATGTTGGTCTGTGTAACGGATTTCAGCATTTAACACCCAGGAACATATGGTGGTCCCAGAGGAGTCTCCGTGGGCAGAAAGTGGTTGCTGTCTTGGGTGAAGGGCAGGAGGGCATAAGGGGCCTTGGCACCCACCGTCTCTCACAAAAAGCCACGGCTTCTCTTCAGGACGAGCGGGGATGCCAGGCTGATGCCCTTGGAGCAAGAGCAGGATGGAAACGTTGGTGGTAGGAATCTGCAAGAGACAACAACAACAAAAAGGGGGGGGTGTTAGAGCAGGACAAGAGGGAAACATCACCCGCTGTTTTCGTAATATTTTAAATTTGCCTTTTGTGTGTGAACAGACACCGGGATCTCAAAACGGCACAACACCCCCTTCTGAGACCAGCTCTGATTTTTGAAGCCATTTTGAACAGGAAAAAAAAAAGCAACAACATGAAATGACATCCTGACCCTGCTGTACTTCCATAGTTACGTGCTACTTGTTTGAGTGTATTTTATTTGTCACAATTTTATTTACAGAATTTGCAAAGTATATTTCCTTTGGACGACAAGTCTTGAGTTTCTCCTGGGGGATTTTGGAGATTGTAGTCCAGCTTTGGGGACTTATTGTTCTTAGGCTGTTTATCACTACCTTGTACATTGAGAGCGTCATTATCTCTTGCATCTTTAGCAACCCCTAAACATGCAACTGGAATCATTTAAAACTGGATACTTACTGTAAATATGTACCTATTAGGTGAACACATTTTGTACACATAAAAGCAAAGCATCGTTGATGGAGGTGAGGGCCCAGCACAGTTATCTACACTTTGTATACATCTACAGTATTTTTGTATACAAAATAGGTGCACCTAACAGGTACATATTAATGTACGTACTTGATTGCGAATGACTCCACTTGCTTCTTGTCAAGCAGCCTCTTCACCTATCTAGCTGTGCTCACCGTTAGAAGAGAATTTGGTGGGAGGGGGTTGGGCGGCAGCAAGAAAGGAAGATAAAAAAATAATAATTGCATTCCAAGCATACCAAAACTGTTGGAAGTCATAGCAATGGGGAAATTGTCGTCCCCCCCTCCCCTGTATTTTTCTTGGGGGATTTCTTGTGTGTTCTAAGAAATGTTCTAGGGCTGCAACTATTCCGGGTGGGGTGGAGGGAAAGAAGGGTGGCTTTGTAAGGGGAATGTCTTGCTTTGTCTGAACTCACACTGTGACAGACAGGATCAGAGCGTGGTTCCTATGCGTATCTCTCTCTCTCTCTCTCTCTCTTGGTACATATGTATCTGTGGAATGTGTGCAAAAAAGTCTGTTTGCTTTCCGACTGAGAGAGAAGAGAATGTTCTATGGGTCGCGAAATCCATCCCATAATTATAAAATAAACCTTGGATTCTGGAGGTCAGAACTGAAAACTGGGACAAAGAGGAGAGTCTTTTGCCATTTTTGCAGAAAGAAAAAGTTATTTATCTTAAGCAGAGATGAATTAGCATTATTAACACACACACGTGCGCACACACACACAAACACACACGCACATATACACATACACACACACACATACACACACATGCACACACACACACACACACACACATAGTGACATGACCTACTGACCCACCTGCCCTTAACCCTAACCCACCTTCCCTAGAGGGCAGAGTGATGTAGGACCGGCCCTATAAAGAGGCAGAGTGAAGCAGCTGCTCGGGGGTCATGAACGGGCCATGCTTTTCCCCCCTGCTTACTAGAATTGGTCCTTCTTTTCTTTTCCTTCTCCTCTGTTGCCCTCTCCCTGAAGGGGATGGAGGCCCGGCACTCGCTGGCTGGCTCCCGTCTCCCAGAAGTCCGAGCCATACGAAGGGCTGCTCAAGAGATGGAATGAATTCCCCACGCCTGGTGGCTGGCATGACAGGCATTCTTGTAAAGGCTGTGCCCAGCGACGATGGACCTCTCGCCTGGCGTGCTAAAGACAATCCCTTAATCCCCTCCTCTCAGCACCAGTTGAGGGAGGGAAGGACACACACCCTCTCAGCCAGCTGACCTCACCTTGTTCTCCTGCCTTCACGCTGGCTGGAGGTCAGACGGGTGCCACTCCACCCTAGGTAGGCGGGGTGCGATTCAGACTCGGCGGGCAGATAGCCTTCACGAGCCCACTTTTGGAAAGCGATTGTGTTGTACGACAAGGTCAGGGGAACCCTCGGCTTCTCTGGTTGAGTGGCTGTAGGACCTTTTTCAGAAGGTCAACCCTTCACTTCAAGGGCTACGGGCGATCAGCCATCCCTCTGAGAATGGCCTCCATTGGACCAACAGGAAAACATTTGCCTGAACGAACACAGCTGAAGCCGCACTACGAAGCAGGGGGGAGGACTCCAGTTGCACGACTCGCTGTCAACTTGGACTTAAGTCACATCGGTGACTCGACTCGGGGCTGTTTCTTTTCAATGACTTGGACTCAACACAACCCACCCAAGACTTCCTTTCTTCTGGAGGGGGGAAAGCTTGTTTTTAATATGGACTTGGGACGTGGTACCAAAAACATGGACTTGGGACTCAGACCCAAACAGTTGCCGACATCCCTGCTAGGCATTCCACCTAACGGTCAAAAGAAAACGTCGTACGGCTTGTCCTGTATGGTGGCAAACCTCCTCGCTCTGCTCGCTCATCCTGGTTTGGATGGCTCACTCAACAGGTACATCGGAACCCCGTTTTATCCTAAAATACTCCTTGTGGTGCAGGCTCTGACATCCTGCGGCTGGCACCAGTCTCTCTTTTGGCTTTGCTTCGTGCTGGAGAAACGTTGGGCAAAAGCGGTAAAAAAAAGTGGTCACCTGTTTGAAAAGAACTGGAGTGATCAGCTCTGCCTTTCCTGCTGTGAATACCGTGAAGGCAGAAACCCATCCGGAGCAAAGCAAGCTAAACCGGGCGCATGCACGACCCCACCTAGGATGCCTCTGATCAAGAATGCTTTTGTAATTCCCGGCAGGAGTACAAAGCATGCCTGGCGTTCCGCCCAGGCTTCTCATAGAGCAGTCCGTCCATTTATTGAAACCAAGCGGCTGGTGGGTTTTTTTTTTTTTTTTTGGAGCATCAATCAATTCAGAAAAAGAGCAAGAAACATGTCAACAGCCTCCAAGCATGAGGAAACCATTGGCAAACTAACACAAGGCCTGCTCTGAGCACAGTCTTTGGCGAAACTGCGAGGCTCAAGCGGAACATCCATGGTTATTATGATGCTCGTTAACACCATGAAACTCCAAGCGACCAGCCCTGGCAGCAAGACCTTCCTAACTCTGATGTTTGAAAGTCACGCACATCCTTCCTTGAAGCCTCTCTGTAATGCGTGGAAATCATCTCCAAAGGATGATGAAGCCGTCCAGCGTAGCCTCCCAGGCCAGTATGGAGACTTGTGTTCAACATTCAGCCTGTAACCTCGTTTGGGGAAGAGTTTTGAAAACAGATTGTGAACATATATTTATGATATTCTTTGGAAAGGGGGGGATTGACACCTGGCTACAGTTGATTCCTTTGTTTGATGTTTTCGAGAAATGCTCTTGCCTTTTCTAAAAGATGAAGCTCTCACACTGCAGGCCTGCTAATTTGTTTTGCTTTTTTCCTTTTCTTGTTTTGGTGCGGTCAGACCTGAAATATTTGCTACTACTCTCGTGGCCCACATAAATGGCACCGCATCCAAAACTGGTTTTATACCTTTCCATCAATTCCTGACGAAAGGATCATCATGACGGCAGACCGGGTGAGATTTTACACCAGTGGCCAGAATCCTACCTGGTTTTTGGCAGGAAGTTTGCATAACTTGCGCCTCATTGAGGAGGTGCCAACCCACACCTTTGCTGCGCGGTCACACGCCTGAGCCGGCATGTTCCTGAGCCGCTCCTTGGCACCTCGTCAGCCAGCTGCAATTAGCCATGGCAGTTACAGAAACCTGATGCAAACACCAGGAGGCAGCTGGCTGATTTGATTTCCTTATTTTATTATTATCAATTTTTCCCCCTAAACTTGCCTAAGGAAGAACTAACAGGCACATATTTCACAGTCCATTCCCCCTTTTTATTGGAAATGGGCATGATGATTTGATTTCCTTATTTTATTATTATCATCATTTTTTTTTCTAAACTTGCCTAAGGAAGAACTAACGGGCACATATTTCACAGTCCATTTCCCCTTTTTATTGGAAATGGGCATGGCATTACCCTTCATACTAAGAGGAAGTGGGCGGTTTCGCCCTGCATGGCCTTGCCTGGCTGGCCGCAGCTCTTTCCTGGCAGTGCCACTTCGATCTCCTTTGAAGACCAAACCAAAGGCCCCACCCTGCAGATGCCAAAAAAGGGCACCTGGGATGTCTGCATAGATAAAGCAGGTGCTCTCCGGCAGAAAGCCAGCAGATCGGTCAGACCTGAGTTTCTGCTTGCCTTCAATTTCCCAATAATTAGCCGCTATCAAGAAAATCAGCCAAGCTGCTTAACAGAACAATACACCACACTAGGAGGTGGGGCAGGTGGAAATTATGAGTTCGGAACCCTGATTCTTTTCATATTTCTTCCGTTTTGGTCCTTTTCTGTTCCTTTGCTTGCTTGCGTGCTTCTTTCCTCCGGTGTACCTCTCCTCTCACAACTTCACCAGCAGTTCCCGGGGTAAGAGTGGAGCAACAGCTGAGTTTAACAGCAGACCTCGTGGCGAAAACCTTGGGACTTTTTCTGCCTTGACCCTGATCTAGTTTTTGATACCACCTAGCTTAATGAAGAGTTATGCAGAACTCAAAAGCTTGCACACTTTTGTGGAATCTGTTGGGAGTTTTTACAGCCTCACATGCTGTCTATGTGGCTGGAAGGGTCCTTTCTGGGCTGGGGTAACTGTCAATCTGTCCAGCACAAACCAATCCCTCCCTCCCACTTCTGAAGTCAAAGAGTCTATCAGAAGCAGCATTTGTTCTTACAGTCCACCTCTCTGCTGAGGGTTCTTTCCCCTTTCTTTAGTCTATCAGAAGCAGCGCTTGTTCTTAGTGTGCTGTTGATCTGTTCACAACTTTAAGTACTGAAACATTTTATTCTTTCTCTTACCTATGAGTGAGTTACTGAGATCTTTCATGCCAGTTAAGGAGAAAGGGGTGGACTATATGGAGAACTTGAAGTTATTCTCCTCCATGAGTTTCTGTATTTCTACTGTGCAGCTAATGGACTCTGCAACAGCCTCCTAACAATATTGTCTCCTGATGGATCTTGGCTTG